AAAAAGAAATTGATTTATTTTTAAATAATTTTGTGAGACACGTACTTACATCCATTATTTTAGTGTCGTAGCCATAAGCTGTAAGCATGGTAGGTTAAGAAATAATTATATCGTTGGTAAATTTGCGGTGAACAGGCAGTTCTAAAAAGTTTTCTAAAATATACAGGAAAATTTAAAAGTAATGCACGATTTTCTACATCTTTTTTTCCAAAAAAAATCATAGACGTGTTCCTGGGGTCGAAATATATCACCCTTAAAAGTATTTTCACTTATTTAAGACTCACCCTGTATAAGCGTTTTCAGAAAACGCTCGCCATGGTGTCAATTGAAACATAATACATGTAAGTCTACAAAAATTTTACGGTGCAGAAATCGACTCAGAAGACCCGTTTGCGAGAGTGAGGATCTGCAGTACGATCTTAGAGTACGATGAGTCTGATACAAATAGTGAGACAGAATAGTAAATGTATGATATCGGGTTTTGAAATAATAAAAAAAATATATTTATAATATAATCGTATACATGATTTATCTATACTTAAATGGATGAGGCGGCGAGCGTTCCCTGAAAGCGCTAGAGTAATATCGCGCTTTTGATAACTGTCTGCAGCTGATTTAGCCACGATCTTTTTGTCTCCCCTTTTGAAAACGGCTTTTACAATAAATAAATCTGACATTCCACCAATCGGCATGCATGTATTCCATACATTTTTTTTTCATTCTTCAAATTTCATTTTTTAATAATTTTTGAGATTGTTTCTAAAATTTCATGCCCCCTCGCGTTGTCTGTCGGCATTTTAGCGACCAGAAAAATGTCTGCCAACGATTTTCCACGTTTCTTAATAATAAATAAAAGCTATTTTTGCAATTATAACTTGTATACCTTATAATATGTTTAGTGTCAAAATTTCACCCTTTCGATTGGCCGCCCCCGCTTTAAGCCCCGGGATCGCGCTGGAAGACATGACTATTTCATAATGGCTACACAAAAGGATACTTCACACCAAAAGTTAGCCATGTAACGATAATAAGGTTTTTTATGTAGCCACTATAATCCTGTGCTGAATTTCAGAGTCCATATTGGCCTTTTGAAATCAAACTGCAAAGGTAATTGAATTCCCGCTACATATTCCAATTGCTCTTCTCCGAGTGAACATGATTTTAGTTTTATCGATGTTCAACATAAAGCCCAAAGCCTCATATGTCCAGGTATATGTGTTCAGTATTTCTTGTAATTAGAGTAACGATTTTGCAAATAGAGCAAAAAATAATGAAACTACTAGTTACACTAGTTCATGTATTTATCTAGTATTTGATTAGAAAATTCCACGGAATCCGTAAAATACATCTCTTACAGCTGAAAGACACTGAAAAATAGAAAATCTCTAGAATCTAGCCAATTAAAAACTCAACCTATAATGCTCATCTCTTCGGCATCTTTTATTGAAATACACTTTCCACTGTCTGACAGGTATAATATAGACTTTTTATGAGAGAAACGAACTTGTCCATTTCGTATTCGAACTAAAGCCATTTCAACACCGTATATGTATTTATACGTGCTTGACGCTTCCGAAGAAACTTTTCCATTTGTAGGTTATGTAGTAGCTTTTGCTCGTTTAATAGCTGTTTTTTTTTTCTTTCTTCTTTTGCTGATAATGACAAGTTAGCAGTGGCGTAGGTAACACGTATATTTGTATAATTCTAAAGATCAACAATCCTCATCAACACAGAACTCCTCATAATGCGTTTAATTTCTTTATTGATTATTTATTTATATCCTTTTATTGATCTTCTAAAATTTCGTATAAGGTACCTACTTATCTTAAACAACACCACTGAATTTAGAATAATAAAATATAGACATTATTGTATAACAAAATTTCTGCTAATAGAATTTGGACCACCCTGTATGTAGAATTAAAGAGGGGGAGGGGGGAATCACCGAAACCTTAAAGATCAATTCAGTCTCCCTTTCTCATTGTACATCGTGATGACATATCTATGTTGTAGGGGGGACGGGGTATTACCCATTCTCCTTTAACAACAGATGTTTATCCTTCGAGGAGTAGGCATCTACCTTCTACGAGGGTATAAAGTACGTCTACTGGATCTGTGTCTATGAAAGGAATGCGGACAAAAAACATTTAAATAAACAGCAATATTTATACGTCGACTTGACGAGTACGTCACCGTAAAGGGCTCCGCCCACTCATTTTATTGGCTACTTGCAAATTTGTCGAATTTTTATTGATGGGACGCGTCGTCTAATTTTTTACGAAAAACTTCGGGAGAATATTGTTTCCCCTCTCACGGATACCCCGTAGCTACAGAACGGACAGACGTACTTGTACACCGTTCCACTGTTAGCCCTCCGTGCCCTTCATAGTCGAGAAGCTTGTCTCCGGCTGAGGACTCTCTTGTATACTATTTCTAATATTTCCTTTTATACCGCCACGAAAACACCCATTAGTAATATACAGGATGATCCGAATTGTATTCGGGAAACTTCGGCAACATATTATGGAGTGTAGAGGTAAGGAATTCTCGAATTGAGATGGCTAGATCAAACTTCCTAAAATTGCGAAACCTACTGTGCGATAAACGTCTCAACATCCATATAAAAGACAACTTCGTCAAGTGCTACGTACTTTCCACACTTCTCTACGGGGTTGAGTCGTGGACACTCAAAGTAAGCGCAATGAATAAGTTGGAAGCATTTGAGATGTGGGTATATCGCAGAATGCTGAGAATACCATGGACTGACCGTGTCTCGAATGAACGAGTTCTAAACCAAATGAACAAGGACCGAGAACTCCTCGACATAATAAAAAGAGGAAAGCAGCCTATTTGGGCCATATCATGAGACATAGCAAGTATGAATTCCTTCAGATCATCATCGAGGGAAAATTGAGGGAAAGCGCGGACCCGGACGACGGCAATGCTCCTGGCTGAAGAACATCAGAGATTGGACAGGCCTGGACTCACATACTTTGCTGAGAAGAGCGAAAAATAGAGAGGAATTTGCCATGGTTGTTGCCGATCTTCACTGAATGGAGAAGGCACTTTAAGAAGAAGAAGAGGTAAGGAGAAATATCTTCGTGCATTAAAAAATGGTCATAAAAAAGGGAAGATTTAAGATGGCGCTGCTGTAGCAAAAACCTAAAAATTAAAATATGCGCGAAAATTTTTAGAACGGGAAATGAATCAAAAGAGATAAATATTTGACGTGAAGGCAAATTTTATTTGGTTTGGTTTGGTTTGGTTTGGTCACATGAAATAATTTATCGATTTTTATTCAGCAACAATAGACTGGGCCTCTAATATATAAAAATAATTGTTTTATATCCTAAATAATAAAAACAAAGCTTTTTTGGGTAATGTTTGGTTATGCTACTTTTACTCTCTTATCTATGGTTACTTTTCATTTTTTAGATTTATGCGTCATTAGCGCCACTGTGGTTATTTGGTGAACCCTTATTCTTCCCATTTTTGTCACCACTTTTTCAAATAAAGTCCTATAAGAAATATGTCTCGTCATCTCTACGCTGTGTCATCTCTACACTCATATTCTGTAGATAAATGTTGGTAAAAAAGTCCATATAAATGTATGTCCTAAAATGCTTCGTTTCGCGATTAGTTCGCAAATATCTGTTATACTAAATTATTATTAAATCATTAGGCATACTATACAAAAATTATTAAATTTCTTATTCCCTAAATAATATTAGTTTCACAATAACTATTCCAGTATTACACCATCTGTGTAAGTTATGTAGAGCACAAAAATCTGTAAAATATCTTTATATCATCTAAACTGCTAGTACGTAATGTAGTACCTATCATTATGCGAGTTCACTCATACCTATAATCTATAATACTATAGGTAGTAATTAAATGAAGTAATGTTTGAAGAAACAGTTATAGACATGTATTATAAAGTTGTTTAATAAATGAGTATTATGTTGGTAATAATGAAATAAAATTGTTATCATTTTTAGTGGATTTTAAGAGTTCAAAATAATTTTCTGAAAATAATATATACCAACTAATATAAAATATATACGCAGGGAGATGTAACCAAGAACAGCTAGTAGCTAGTTAGTAAAACATGTAATACTACAGTTTGATCATTTATTAAATTTTTCAGGTAGAGAAGAATAAACTATTTTTTTCCATAGCAACTGTTAAAATTGCCTTATATCTATCAAAAATAGTAAATAAAATAGTACTTTAACCGCAAGGGTAGATTAAATGATACTTTAACAGGGAAGATAGATTAAAAACATTATTTCTTCTCGCACGTTTTTAATTGCTTCCATTTTTGAAAATTTTTGTATTCCTTTTCATAAGTTATTCGGGATTTAAATGAAAGCAGTTTGGATATGGCGTTTGTCGCCTCAGCCTGAATATCTGTTGGTAATTTACTTATTTCGTTTTGAGCCATTTCTGGCTCCAATTCAATCAGCAATCGACACGAAAGAGAATTAAAAAATATTGACTCAAAATTGACAACTTTAGTTTAGAGACAGCTTTATTTATTTGTCAAATTACATAGAAACCAACGCCAACCAAGCACAATATTTTTTTCTACTCGTAATAAATTCCTTGGAATAATAATTTCTGAATATTTTTTAAAACGTAACCGCTATGGAAAAAAATATTGTTTTATACACGACGATAAAATTGCATTATCGTCTTAAATAGGTCTTAAATACAATTTTATCGTCTTGTATAAAAAGTAACTTTTACAGGGCAAATTCGTAAGTTCCTAATAGTATTTGAATTACTAATTAAATATTAATTTAATAATTCCAATACTAATAATACTTATTTATCAACCCTTGTATTCAATCCCACACAAACAATAAACAATACCTACGAATTAAGGTATATTAAAAATGCAAAACCTTAATATACGTTTAAAGAATTATCCGAAAAAAAAATACAAAAGAACGTAACTTTCTTTAAGTAAATTGAAAGAATTAAAACTGACTTACCCTATATCTAAACATGCTGTGCGTTGTATTCTATCTATTTGTCATTGTTAACTAAATGTGGGAACCAGCCATTATCAAAGGAAATTCTTAACAACCTATAACAGAGAAATACCAGTAAAAATAGGTACAATGTAAAATAAAGTCTTTTACTAACAACTAATGTACAGGGTGTTGTGTGACTACTAATGTTCAGGTAATCAAAGGAGTCGCAAAGATGCAGCATATTCAAATTCGCCCAGTATTTCAGGCACTAAAAGTGCTAGGACAAATATGTGTGTAGCATCTTTGGTTTCATAAAAAAGTAGCAAAATGATGTGAAAACCGCATCTTTGTATCTCTATACTCTTAAACGAGAAACTCAGTAAAATACACGAAAATAAAACACCCTGTGCTATATATAACACTAAAACACACAATAAACATAATATTTCATATCAACTAAACTTTTAGTTACGTAATCGAAGGTGCGATTTTTAAATTCATTGTTGCCAACCATATTCACTGAAAAAAATATTGTTCATAATATTAATGAACATTGATTATTAACTGTTGTTTCATTGGGACAATGATTTTTTTCATTAATATAATGATTTATTAAAATTAGATCGATGTCCGATTTATTAATACTATGAATCTAATTTCATCAATATAATGAAAATCTGGTTATTAAATTAATGTAAGATTTTCATTAATATAATGAACGCGTTCATTGTCCCAATGAACGCATTCTTTATTTTAGTGCTGAAACTTTAATAAACACATATTCATTATATTAATGTACTAAATCATTGATTAATGAGTTGTACATTGTGACAATGAACAATGTTATTAATACAACAAACACACTACATTATATTAATGTACGCGGTTATTAATATTATGAATAAAATATTAGGGCTCAAAATGTCCGCCATGTCCAAATCGTTCATCGGCTCAAAATTAATGATTTAATTCATTATATTAATGAACTTTTTCATTATATTTATGTCGACTTTTGGTTCAGTGTTCAGCTGCGAACTAACTAACTGGAATTTAAATTTCCTCTGGGAATTCAGGTGGTAGCTCTGCTGTAAAAAATGTCAAGTTGCCGCATTTATTTATTTATTTCCTGACATTGTCATTCGTTTTGACACTTCAGTTTTGTATTAAGAGTTTTGGTTTAAATAAATAGAGTTGTGATACTTTAAGCTTGAAAATGTTTACTAGCAGACTTTGCGGTCGAACATTGTTCTTTTTGAAACCTCTTTTAGTGCAAAGTATACAAGATAGCTTAATAGCTGTAGAAAACTCATCGCAATTTTATTAGAATATTTTGAACGGGAAAGCGGTGGTAATGGCCCTTTATTTCCCTTAAATGCTGTTAAGAAGGTGAGTTTTGTTGATATAAATAATAACTTATATATTTATAATTAATTTATTTTTGTTTCCTAAAATACTTTGATTAAAAGAAAATATATAAAAGTAGGCAACGCTGTGCCGGTCAGGCTTAATCACGTAACTAAAAGTTTATTTGGTATGAACTGTATATTATAAACACTGCGCAAAAATGTTGACCGATAAAGTATATTTATTTCTCTTTCAATGTTGGTATATTTTTACCTTGTAGTTTCGAAATCTCCAAAAACAGTTTAATGTATTTGTCATTTTTGGCATTTTTCTGAAAATTTTCTTGGTCTTACTCACTTTTTGGACATGTTTTTGGGCATTTTTTTTTTACCTTGGAATCTACCCCCTACATATTCGTAAAAGTCTATTTTCTTCTAAACGAATTGGAAATTCATTAGACTCTCCTCGCTTATTTATTTACACCCTGTATAATATTAATAAATATTAGTCAAATAAATAGTTTTTTGTAGCAGCAGTATAGACGTAATATAATTTTTCCAGAAATTATATTCATTATTTACCTGATATTCACGCACAATGCTTCTCCGTGCATGTTTATAATAGTTAATATATTAACATTTTTTATTTTTTACTTTCCGTATAAAAATTTAGTATATAATGATTTAATTAAGAATTTCACATAGTTTAATGAACTTTCTACTTTATTAGTCCATGTAAATCTATAAATAATGTGGAACAATCCATTTAAAAAACTATGTAAATATTTTCATATAAAAATTTAAATGTTTATATCAAGGCATAAAACGATTTATTTGTTCTGAAGTATATCAAATAATTTTCATTTATTTATACAAGGTATTCCAATATTTCATAAAGATAGAAGTATTTTTGAAATCAAAATAAAATAATGGAACATAATTTTCCTCAAAAATTTTCGTTGGTACGTTGCAGGGCATCATATATTATTTAAAACTAAACACATTTTTAAAATATTTTAAGAGCCGAAGTTCTGATTTAAATGATATTTGAGGTGCCTATAATTTCTCCGGTGCTTTTTTGACTTTCACAAAAAATCAAAAAGGGTACTAGAAGGGTGAATAGTAGATGTTTTGCAACTTCAACAAAAAAACTTTTTTGTCTCTTATGAAAAACGAAGAAACAAAATTTTGAAAATATTGGGAAATCCTGTAGATATATAAGAATATTGTTTAGTATATAATATATGTGTTTTTTATCAAATTAATAGGTACATCTAGAAATTTCAACAGAAATGAAACGAATACCGGAAACCAAATATGAAAAGAAATTTATTTTCGCGAAGAGCTTTTAACAGATTAAAACAAATATTTTCCTATATACCTACCTATTTCCCCAATATTTTACTGAAAATTGAACGCAACAAATCACTTTTTAGTTAAAACGAAAATCATGTTATTTAGTATTTCCATTTCTGTATCAATATTTATATTCTGTCTACTGAATATTACTAGACTGGAAAGGGTTAAATATATTAAATGATTGTTTGTTTTAAAGTTGTTTTAATATTAATTTATTGATAGAGTATAATAATTAATTAATGAAAGTGGATCCATAATATAAATATGTAAAATAATAAATTTTGTATTAAATGTAATAAATTTAAATATTGTTTTTGGACACGTTGATAAATCGCTTAAATATTTCATAAAATCATTTATTATTAATTTTTTTTTCACGCAAAATTGTATAATGTCTCAATTGTGTAGAATTAAGTTATTTCTCAGAATTGTGTATACCGGGTGCGTATAAAAAGTGGTGCACCCCTTATAACTTAATTATTTTTTCAGATAAAACAACGAGATTTGGTATGTTAGTATATGACATAAATTAGGATTGATTGACATATTCAATTGTTTTCGGTCGCTTCCGGTTTCACCGGAAATGACTACAACTTTTGATTTTTAAATGGCACCCTCGGTATTTTTTTACTTTTTCGATAGAAAACTCAGTAATATAGTTTCTCAAAACTCTCTAAATAGAATGACATATCACATGTCAACTTTGACATTTTCGCATATGGTTTACTTGAAATTGTAACCTGCGGTTCATAACGACAATTTGACTCGAAATACCAAGTGTGTGGTATCAAATTATTCGTAAATTGGGCATCTTTTAACCGGCCATGGCCACACTAAAAACATTAGACGATCAAATCTATTTTCCAAGGCTCCTTGATTAAAAATTAGTGTTTTTAACACAGTCATGGCACTCTAGATTGCAATTTAAAATACAATTTGTTTTTGAGCGAACATGTCAAAAGTTGACATATGATATGTTATGCGATTCAGAGTGTGATTTTCTATCGAATAAAGTAAAAAAATACCGAGGGTGCCATTTAAAAGTCAAAAGTTGTAGTCATTTCCGGTGAATATATAGAAGTAACCAAAAACAATTGAATCCGTCAATCAATCCTAATTTTTGTCATATACTTACATACCAAATCTCGTTTTTTTTATTTGAAAAAATATAAAAGTTTTTAAATGTATTTTTGAGCCTAATTCTAATTTTACAAAATAATTATCCCTAAATAAAATCAATAAAATATGTGATATATTTACCTAAAATAAATGTAAATTTTTTTATCATCCCATAAAATATGCGAAAAAACCACCATAAAAAGTATCACAGAAAAAGTCCCACACAGTCGCTAAAAAAGTCTTATCGGCACTAGTCACAGAACCATATCCACCTGCAACCTTGAATTTCAAAGTTCAACGGAGAAAGCACATCCACTTCTCACATCAATGGTACTACTCTTCAGCGGCGTCTGCCAGCAGCGTCGTCGAAGATACGTATGCGAATGGTACCCGAAGATGGTACCTAGCCAAAAGCGCGCTTGAATCTCCCTGCTTGAATCGATTTCACACAAACAAGTATCGAAATTTGGTAGGTTCACTCAGTGTCAAGCACCAGATAATGACTTGAACAGTCCAAATAGACACTTAACTGGTTATATATGGCGGTTCGCTGGGGGGAACCACTTCCAAATAGGAACCCCCATGGTGCGAGGGTACTTCAGCGGGTCGGCGGCGTGATAAGGAAACGTAATTGGTGTAAACAGATTTACTTTTATGTCTGGTATGTTAAAAGGGAAATTTTTTATGATGTCATCGATAGGTGTTTTTTGCTGCTTTGTTGTGAAATTACACTATTTTTACTTTCGCTCTAACAATGCAGGAAGAAGATCTGACAATCTGTATTTGTTTTTTGCGATTTATATTTTCTATAACCTGCACCGGCGAGAGACACAGAGATTAAAAATAATAATTCATTCATGTATCTGTTACGCTCAATAATCGAATTTAGGTAATGCCCGAAAAAAAAACGCAAATCTAGTTTTGAGCAATGAATATTTTCCAAACCCGAAAAACCAACTAACCAATGAATTAACACCCTCCAAATAACCACGCTAACCAACGCGCTAAATAATTAATCCAATCCAACCAAAAAGAGTGAAACCAATGCAATCAAATCACACTATAAGCAAAAAAAAAAATAATCAAATAAAATTAATTTTTCGGGTTTAGGAAATATTCCGTGCTCAAAACTAGATTTGCGTATTTTTCTCGGGCATTGCCCGAATTCGACTATTGAGCGTAATATATCCACCAAATTAATTCAATAAAAAGACCAAATATAGATCAAATACTACATTTTATTTGCCTATGCTGAATACACATGCCAAATTTGAACAATTCTGGACAAGCCCGATTTTAAGTAATTTAACAGAATGTCAACGGTTTTTGTAGACGTATCTGTTTTAAAAAAACTAAAGTGTTGTCGAATAGTTGAATTTTAAATATTTTAAATAGTTTTTTTCTTTAGACTTTGTATTTTTGTTTGCTTCCGACGACGGAAAGAGATAAACTTTCCGAAACGTTAAGCATTTTTAGCCGACCATACCAAGAGGTATGGTAGGCTATTAAGATCGGCAAAAACAGTTTTTTTAATTTCACTCAAAAGTTATTTGGGTCATAAATGACCTAAATACAAAATATTTTCATCTGTCCGTCTGTCCGTCTGTCCGTCTGTAACACGATAACTCAAAAACCGCTAAACCGATTTTAACCAAATTTGGCACAAAAATACTGTGGCACCCGAGAATATGGCCATTAGATTTTGGTGGGGGTGGGGGATTGGGAGGGGGTTATGAAAAATCGTAACTCCAAAATTACAGTAGCTAGCGAAACGCGGTTTTCAATTTAAGATTAGGAATAATATTTGCAACAAAATTTGTAATGACATCAAAATCAGTCAAAGTCGCAGTTTTTGAGATAAAAAAATTGCTTTTTATTAACATATTTTAGTATGGGCGTCTATACGTGCCTCCCGGCGCCAATTTTTTTTGTTCGTTAGGCAGATTTGTTTATCTGTAAACCTAACTTCTGACAAGTAGTTTCCGTTTGGGATTAACGCCAGAAGTGTTTACAAAAAATAACTATTTTATTTTGTAGATTTTTTTGCAGTGGCGAAATACCCATACAGGATTTTTTTAAGTAATTTAAGAAAAACTGCATCACAGATAAAAAAAACAAGTTTATATTGGAAAGTGCCCATGAGGACAATGTAAATACTATTTGGGGCTATTCTTACACCGGTCGCTTTCCAAAGCTTTTGAATTTCGGAGCGGTTCGGCTGTTTCCGGAATTATGTCGCCAAATATTGTATATTCAAATTTATTATTATTCTCTTTTAATTTTTTAAATAAAATACAGTGTGTTGCATATAAAAAAACGTTATTTTATATAAGAACATATACATATATGGAATACCTATGAAACATTGGAAACTGACGTTATGCCACGATCCACGATGGTTTTTGCAGTTCACATTTAATGCCACTTTTTCACAATAATTATCACGGGTTTGAGTAAATAAAATTTAAATTAAACTCACAAGATAGGCAATAATTATTTTGAAAATTGGCGCTTTAAATACTTTCGGTATTTTTTCAATTAGGGCGATTTAAATTTTGAAGATTTTATAATTTTTGAAGATTCTGACTTTGACAAGAGAAAATTATTTCTGTTCTTGTTTGGCGGTTGTTCTTTGCAACCGCTATAGCAGCGCCCTACAACGTATGCGCTCCAAAACAATTATAAGTTTTGACGCAAGCCGAGCATTCCAATCTAAACTTGTTTTCTTTATCTATGAACTGCATATATTTTTAAATTAAAACTGTACAGGTAATAGTGCAAAACCAGGCAAATGCCAACATACCTTAAATTAAAATTAATTATCAAACTAGTTAGAGAAATAATTTTTTTCAATTTCTTCTAAAAGTTCTACAGGGTTGTTCACCACATACGACATGGAGTATTGTAACTAAACGATTAGATTTTTAAAAATTGTAAGTTTTGGGTTCGTTGAAGGATTATTAGAGCTACAATTCAAAAATATTTTTACAAGATACAGAGTGTCCCAAATAAATAAAAAATATCTGTTGTGTACATTTTTAGTTAATACGATTAAGATACGATAACCTACGATTAAAATAAAGGCAAATTTGATTAAGGTTTATCATCCTTAAACCCTACCGTTTTTGAAATATTTTCAATATGTTGAAATTGCAGTAAAAATTTTAGGGCTTCATTTCTCCAAGGGTATTAAGGCTCTCCTTCCCACGGGCGCTAGCCTAGCATTTGGGTTTGGCTGTCACAAAATGCTGCAAAAACCATGTGACCTTTCTTCACGAATCTTTTTTTATTTGTTTGTATACATCTTAAGACGTGCTTATAATTATATTTCCTTCCCCAAACTCAACTCAAACTGTTTCAAATTTACCCCTAAAACGCCCTAAAAAAAGATGATTTTATAAGTAATTTTTTTAACATTAAATGTATTCAAATCGATAAGTGATAAAAATTATACTACTATGTACTATACTGGTGATAGTTAAAGTGCCATAATAGTAGTACTCTACAAACAAAAAATAATTCGTTGAAAAAAAAACACACCAAAATAAAATAAAAAACACTGAGATGTACTAAGATGATATCTTTACTCAAAAAGTATGTACTACATATACGAAGTCAATGGACATACATATATGCAATAATAATGCATATAAACATTTATTATATTAGATAATAATATTGTTTAAAAAATGGACGATTACGATGGACTACTTAACTTTTAACAGAGATATTTCTAATAGGCATATTTCTAGATTTTCTAGGATCCACCAATTCGGTCAAAAGACATTTTATGTAGAATTCCGTAAACTGTTTTTTAGTTTTTTTTTTCAAAAAACTTCATCTTTGAAAATAATTTCGTGTTTAATCCCCAAGGGTGTCCACACAGGAAACAACAGAGAGCCAGGGTTACTAAAAACATTGATTATCTCCAAAAAAAATATATTAATATTTCATAAATCTTGTTATCAATTTACAACAAGTAGGCTTTGGAGCATCACAAAAGCAAATGAATAATGGAATTGTCGTAACTAATAAAATGCTGTTATATAGCAGCAAGTGTCTCAATTTTGTAATTTTTTTAAAACGTATATTTTACAAATATTTTTTTTTATGATGAAAGTAAATGATAGGGGTAAGTTTTTATAGTCTGTCCAACGAGAAGATCCTTGACAGTGATAGATGTGTCTGTCATTGTAATTTCAAAGTAGTTTATTTTATTTTACAAAGAAATAAGTTGGTACAACTGGAACGCATAGCAAGATATCTGTGGCAGGATATATTTAAAATGTGATTGACAAGATGACAAGTGATTACTTCAAAATATTGTGAAAAAAACTGTATAAAACTGAAAAAATGTAATCGAGTTATTTTATTTAATAAAAACGGTATGTGTTAATACAAAACGAACAAGAACAAGACACTACATACCAAAAAAAAATATAAAAAAGAACTATTATCTACTTTCAAGCTTTATCAAACTACTCGCATTTATGATTATATTTATCAATATAACTTATGTACAAATACAAATTTGTAATATTCCACAGGAATAAATAAAACAACATAGGCAAATAAATCAAATTATTTTATTGATAATAACATCTACCAAATTTTATACCTTAAAGGTTGATTAATTAACTTTAATCTTAATTTTTTTAAACCAGTACCTTTTGACATTATTTTTCTGCAGTACTAAAATCCATTATTTACCTATCGTGTGATGTCGATATTTTACAGCTACTCCAGTTTTTAGTATGTGTTTAGTTTGATCCTTCTACCATATACGAGATGCACTTATCTACGACGAAATGGTATACAAACTTTATCGATGGCAACTTCATTGGTGAATAAGACTTTCTGCCTGGGCAGCGAGTATTAACCATAAACTGTGTTCTGGGCCTACAGTTAATTTTCACTCAATTTTTCCTCCACTTCACTTCAAAAGACACAAAACACACGTAATAATACTAATCAAAATGCATCATCTTCCAAAACGCAGGGTATTTAACAAAAGTTGACACAAAATGATAAGCTATAATTTGGCAAGACTTTGACAAGCGTTAAAAATGACAAAAATCTAAAGGCGAGTTCATACCATCGGCGTCCGTTTGTCGTTCATCGTTAAACCAATAAAATTGAAATACGATCTGTCATTTTTTAAATAAACCAATAAAACTGGTTAAAAACAACAAGACACGACGCATGACGGATTTATATTTAAACCCATCCATAGATAACTTTAAAATTATTAGAAACTTTTTTTAGTAAAATAAATAGATTGGTATGGGACGTCATCTGCTTTTCTTCTGTCATCGTCTGTCGAAATCTTACCTGAGAAAAAAAACAGAGTATACTGTTTTTCTGCTCTTTCACATTTTAATAATATTTTCCCATATTTGTATTAGGGTCATTTTTGTTAAAATATATTTTTCAAAAAAAAACCTTTAAAATTTATGAACGATTTAAAAAAAAATGTAGAAATATCGTATTTTTTGTACATGTCATTCGCTTAGGTAGTCCTTATTCTTTTATGTCGAGCAAAATAAATCTGCCCCAAACTGCCACCCTGTGTGGTAGAGCATATTGTTTTGTTGGATGCACAGTTCGGCAATAGTGCGTCAGGCATCTGTAGCTTCTAGAATATTTTTTTTTTCAAGTTTGCTGTTTGTTGTATTGACTTTGTAATTTTAACACATATTGAATAATATCTACGAGCAAAATAATTTTTCCATAAAATATGGTCCACCGTTAGGATTTTGGGCGCCGTTGACCCTGGATTTAGGGAGAGATTCGTAAGTGCAAGTAGTCGATGCCACCGCCTTCTGTTAGTTTAAAAGCTACCTCGTCTCTTCGGATTCCCTGCAGGTGTTATAGTTTGTCTAGGGAAGGGCAGCCTTAAAGTTTTTAATATTAAATATTTACCAAAGTTTAATTATTGATCAGTTATTGTGTTGCAATAATAAAAATAATACTACCTCATACAGAGTATCTAAAAATTTATTTTATATAATTTCTAGCTTTAAACGGCAATAACTTGTTTAATTTAAATGGAACATCCTGTATATTTTAGGAGAATCAGATGCACAGTTTAATTATCCATCAAATTGTATTATACCATTTTTACCTATCCCTTCAAGTGTTCGTAGAAAATGCATTTTTTTATAATTTAGACCTCATTTATCAATATACCCATGGAATATTAACATTTTAGATTATTTTTAAAGCAACAAATGTACAAAATGTACAGGTGCTACAAACGATAATATTACCAGCCTATTTGTATAAAAAATAAAACTATTTAAATCTTTATAAAAGAGTATACCATTAATTAAATATACCACCATTATTTCCGCCCAAATATTAATTAATTACATATTTAATAGTGTTATTTAATAAATTATTGTAAATAAATGTGGATTTGGAATCAGAAATCAATATAATAATAAGTCATGAAAATGAACGTCTCTGATGTTATAAATAAGCATTCGTCAAAAAATTAAATAAAATTTTTAAGGTGTTACTTTTTACCACACTACCACTGTCTAATACACATACAAAATTCAGTTTTTTAGTATTTGGAGCAATTATTATTAATCAACGCAAACAGTCAATTAATGTAGTTTGAATACTGGAATCATATTAGTTAGTTGGTCCCCTTTTACAAATATTTAAACAATTTTTTTTAATGACATTAACGAACTACTTATGGCTCTGTTCCCAGAAGAATCCCTGACTAGTCAGCGCGTTTCTTATTGGTTGAAATGTGTAGAAACCAGACTAACAATCAGGTTTCTACGCATTTTAACCAATGAGAAACGTGCTGACTAGTCAGGGATTCTTCTGGAAACAGACCTTATATCGACAATATTAGTATCTGTACCCTTCAAAAATATGTTACATCTTTAAAAATAATCAAAAATGTCATTCTATATGGGTATATTGATAATGATTAAGATCTAAATTATGAGAAAATGCACTTTCTACGAGAACCTGAAGACATAGGTAAAAAATGATATAATACAATTTGATAGACAATTAAATTGTGCATCTGATTCTCAAAAAACAGAGTGTTCTATTTAAATTAAAAAAGTTATTGCCGTTTAAATCTAGTTATTACTTAAAATAAATTTTTAGACACTCTGTATAAGGTAGTATAATTTTTATTATTGCAACACAAAATATGGTAAATAGAAATAGTTCAGTACAACATTTGGTTTTAAAAACTTAAATACACCTAGAGAAATAAAACATTAAAATCATTACTGTATTTTGACAAAAACCTAAATATTTCAAAAACAGTAAGATTAAAACGCGGTAAATCTTAATCAAATTTATTATTATTTTAATAGCAGAAACTAAAAATGTAACAATATACAGGGTGTTCCATTTAAAAAAATACAACTTTGATATTTTTTATTTATTTGGGACACTCTGTATCTTGTAAAAATATTTTTGAATTGTAGCTCTAATAGTCCTTCAACGAACCCAAAACTTACAATTTGCAAAAATCTAATAGTTTAGCTACAATACTCCGCGTCGTATGTGGTGAACAACCCTGTATACACTGTAGCATCAAGGAAAAGGTATTTAACAGTTTTTTTGTGTACAATTCAACTAAAAACGTAAAATGCCCATTTGCAATTGAATATTAAATGCCAAAATGCATTAGCAATCATCTTCAATTACTACTTTCACTGGTTCATTAAAAACATGCCGAAGACGATACGATAAGTAAAGTAATAAACATCAACACCATGTTCTCTCCCTCTATATACTAACGGTACGGTATAATGAGGACGCTGTAAATACACATCCTCGCTTAATTTATTTATTATAAACAAATGATACAACGAAACTTTCTTTGATTAATTTAAATTATAAACATTCTCAAAATAGCTTTTATAGTTTGACGCGGCTTGCAGCGTTTTTGAAGGATTTTTTGTTCGTGTTGTGAGAGATATTTGCACACTTCATTTAAAAACTTTATATATTTGATTTTATTATTTAATTAGTACCTAATTAATAATAAATCAGTATGAATAAATTAGGTTTAAGTGTAATGGTGTTAATTTTGTTCGTGATGGTAAGAAATTATTAATTTTCTTATGAATTTTATTTTTACCTTATCATTATTTCAGCATTATTACTAGGATACCAAATACATATCAAACCTATAACTCCCATAGTCATTATAACTCACTTTACAGAGCATTATCATTTTTACCTTACAAATCAATAACCTTTATTGGGATAAGCTTGCCATGTTGTGTGAGCGATTTCCTTGTGCAATTATTTGTCACTCGTCGTGCCGCGGGGTCAAGCTTATTGCAAAAAAAATATTGTTTACAAAGCTAGTATACTTGCCAAGTACGCAAATATTGGCGTACTTGTCAAGTACACAAGTCGTCATAATCCAACTTATGACATTGTTTTTTTTCTGTGCGCTTGGGTCCCCTTACTATTACACATTCAGGGTGAGCCTTAAACAAGTGAAAATATTTTTAGGGGTAGTATATATCCAGCCCACCCAAGTAACAAATTTTATTTTATAAAGGTTGTATAAACAGCTATGTGATAATTTTTATAGGATACCTGAATTCATATAACGTGCTATATGACCGTAATATGATAGCTTTACAACCAAAAAAGGCCCATTTTTATACAACCTTTTAGTAGTATAGAAGTTCTATAAAACGGGTATACAACTCTAATGCAACTATTTTACACAGCATTATATGACTATTATAAAACTAGTTTTATTGTGTATTACGTGGTCACATCTAAGAAACAGAACAATAAAAACATTTGATCATTTAGCGAGGTACAAGAGTATTTTATTTTTTACCGAAGAATATTAGTAGCAAATTATATTTTAAGCGTGTCGTAAAATGAATCTAGAGGATGTGGATTGTTAAAAAGGAGACTTTACTCGACAATGAAAATGGCGGGTAGAGCCAGAAGATACAACAAATATGTAATATAAAAAATCATTAATAGGGTTTGAAAAGTAGGGACAATTTTTGTTGCGCCGAAAATTTTACTGGTAGATTATATAGGTATGTATTTGGCAAAAAATTAAAGCGCTTTAATTTCGATTAAGGTTTACATATAAATTTAAACAATAAAATAAAATAAAATTTTCAAAAATTCTTGTTTTTAATTTAATTAAACACTTCATTACTGTATGTGGGAATCTTATCACAAAATAGTTCTCAAAAATAACATTTTACAATGTATTTTGATGTTTTTAATTTTGCTTCATATAATGGCGACCATAGGCCATACAAAAATTCTGCCTTAAACATGGCGAATTATAATGCAACCATTTTATTATAAATGAATCCCTTAAATAAGTCTTTGTTGTAAAATAAAACGGTATAGGATAAATATCCATCATTACGCAGAATTTTCAGGCACTATAGAACTATTTTGGACATATTGAGATTTGTGACAAATAGATGTTGCCAAATCTCATTTGATTAGTATTTAAACAAACAAACATGATCAGATTTTCATGGATTCATGCACGCGCAATGCATTTCATGCGTGCCCGACTTGTGAGCGGCAACCTAAGGACTTGGAAAAACAACAATAAAACAATACAAACATTACTACAGTAAAACTTTTACACCAACGTGGCAACAATGCTTTGAAGAAGCCAGACAACCCGAGAGATTTTGGTTTTTGAGAACGCAGGGAATTCTCGAGATTATTTGCCGTAATTTCGAGGAGTTTTTTCTTACATGCTCTTTATAACTACTCTGCTACCCTACACTGCTACCCTACTACACTGCGTTTGTTAAGTTTTTTCCAACTTTGTCCAGAATTCATAATAGCTGTGATTGATTATACTCGTACGTAGATATTACTTTTACAACAACAACAATAACAAAATAAATAACTAGGTATACCATTTAAATTAAAATGAGGTTATATTATATATTACCAGTTTTATAATGCAGATATTACAGCGAATTTATTGTGTTAATCACAATTTTATCATATAAGGCTATTTATAACTACCCTGCTACCCTACACTGCTACCCTACTACACTGCGTTTGTTAAGTTTTTTCCAACTTTGTCCAGAATTCATAATAGCTGTGATTGATTATACTCGTACGTAGATATTACTTTTACAACAACAACAATAACAAAATAAATAACTAGGTATACCATTTAAATTAAAATGAGGTTATATTATATATTACCAGTTTTATAATGCAGATATTACAGCGAATTTATTGTGTTAATCACAATTTTATCATATAAGGCTATATAACTGTGTTGTATACAGCACCGTAGTTTAACGCAATAAAACGTTCTATCATACAACGTAATACAACTTTAATAAGACAAGTTTAAGTAACTATTATATGATCTTGTGACTACTAGTTATATGAATATTATAGAACTCTTACATGGTGGGTATAAGAGTCTAATAAAATAATATGTTTGTTATCATATAGCATTGTCTTATTAAGTGTTATATCATACTAAAAGAAATTATCGTTTAATGCGTTATAGGATACGTTGTAAAAACCACTAGAAAATAGTTTAATATGACAACTTTTATTAAAAAACAGAATGGTCGAAACCAAACGCTTAATAAAATCAGGCAGTCCTTAAGACAACGCTATTCGACTGTTATAAAATAATTCAATCCTTTTAGAATTTCTTTTTGCTACTTGGGCAGAAACACGATTATGAGTTTCTTTCGCAAAAATAATGGATTTTTTTTAGTTTTTAGTTAAAAAACAATAAAAACATAATTTCTTCATAATACGGCAACATAAGTAGTAAATTAAATTTACAAGAAAGAAAACCCAGAAAAGATCCAGTGGTTCTCAAAATTTAAGCAATAATTTTTTTTTTTATTTTCATTGTAAAATTATTCGGTTATTTTGAACTTATTTGAAAAACGGTAAAGGGAAAATATGTTACTTTTATCAAAATCTACCAAACCTGAAAATAAGTGCACTTATTTAAGACTCACCCTATACAGGGTGCTACAAATTCGAGATACGAGCATTGGTATCTCGGTAACCGTAGTAGATAGGAACATGGTTAAATCGGGACAAAGTTGCGCTTTGGGATGTTCATCAAGATACCATCAAAAAAGTTTTAATAATTTCAAGGATTGCTGGTTTTTGAAAAAAAAAACGGATATTTTTGAAAATTAATTTTATTTATTGCTGTCGTTATTTTAGAAAATCAAAAAACTAATTGCACATTTTCATAGCCACTTTATTAGTGCTATCTGATAGTATTTTTAGATTTTCAAATTAGACGATAATTTGTGAGATACAGAGGCCAACATAATTTTTTAAATATGGACCTGCATTTTTTATTTCCGGTTTTGAAACAACTCGGTCTCTTGAGCACAATGATATGCCACACTTTATACTTTTTTTTGTTTTGGGTACCTTAACAACAAGAAAATTATTTAATTGTTATTTAAAATAATTTCCAGCCCCACTCTGGTTTTTTTAATTATTTAATCAGATTATATTCATCGCAACAATATTGATCAGCGCTAATTGACATTGAATAAGGAAAATCGAGCCAATTGGAAGATTCAAATAAATTATATCCAGGTCAGCAATTTCAAAATATTATTTTTAACTTTCTTTATTGTGAATTTGAAATCTCAGTGTGCTATCTAATATTATGCGTAATATTAATAGTAGTTATTATAAATAAATCAACTTCTACAAACTAGTTTCTAATCCTCTACATGAGTTCGAAAGGTCGACCACCCTCCCTATTGCACAAATTTATTTTTCGTTCAATTTTATTTATAACTCTTTGATCTTTCTTCTTATACTTCCGAATGCATTTTGTGCTCTTTACTGTAAATGTTGAGATGAATTGATTTCACTTTTACAAATGACGTGAAGTAATGTATTCATTTGTTTATAATTTTTTATTATTTTATTGCATTTGATTTTCCATATTCAATGTTTTACCCCACGTCATTGTTAAGTTTGAAAGCTTATCAATATTGTAACGATGAATAGATTAAATATTCAAGAATAAAAACAGAGCCGGACTTGAAATTAGTTTAAATAAATTCTGTTCCAATGTCCGAAACAAAAAACAAATATTAAGTGTGGCATATCATTGTACTCAGGAGACCAAGTTCTTTCAAAATCTAAAATAAAAAATGCAGGTCCGCATTTAAAAAAATTAAGTTGGCCTCTGTATCTCACAAATTATCAGCTAATTTTAAAATCTAAAAATATTATCAGATAGCCCTTAGAAAGTGGCTATGAAAATGTGCAATTAGTTTTTTGATTTTCTTAAAAGTAATGACAAGAAGAAATAAAATTAATCTTCAAAAAAATACGTTTTCCAAAAAAACTCAGCAATCCTTGAAATTATTAAAACTTTTTTGATGGCATCTTGGTGAACATCCCAAAGCGCAACTTTACCCCAATTTAATCATGTTCGTATCTATTACGGTTACCGAGATACCAATGCTCGTACCGCGAATTTGTAGCACCATGTATAATCTGCGGGCATTATCATGAAATTGGCGCATTCGGTACATAAACAGCTAATATTTAAATGTGTTTATTTTATTATAGAATCTGGCCAGTACGAAACAAATAAGTTGTGGAAAGAAAAAGTTTTATTGTTTAAGCGAAGAGAGATTTTACAGTTGTTTGAAGAGTGGAAACGATCAGTACATCGTAAAAAGGTTTAATGCTTTTTACTAAAACGCTTGCGGGGTTACACATATCATATGAGTGAAGAATTTTATAATTTGATCTCGCTCTTTAGTTGTTCTCTAAGTATATCGAGATATAAAATGAAAACGACGGCAAAACGACCACAGTACATGTGGAACAAACTTTTTAGATACAGCATCTAACATATTTAGTTTATTAAAAAATGTTACTATTTCGTGTTACTATTCACATTCACAATCAATAACTGTCGCTCTCAAAAATCATTAACATAGTAAGGTTCAAACTCAAATTGGTTTTATTCAGATATGATTTAATTTTGGACATTGAGCATTAATAGTTATTTTTTATAAAAGACAATAAAATGGTATTTTATCGTCGACCGAAAAGATTAATTCACGAGCGATGAAATCGCGAGTGAATTATTTTAGTTACAGTTCGGTAGGCAATTATTTTCGATAATGCAATTTTATCGTCGTGTATAAAACAATATTTTTTTCCATAGCGAGTTACGTTTTAAAAAATATTCAGAAATTATTATTTCAAGGAATTTATTACGAGTAGAAAAAATATTATGCTGGGTTGGCATTGGTTTCTATGTCATTTAACAAATAAATAAAGCTGTCTCTTTAGTTGTCAGTTTTGAGTCAATATTGTTTAATTCTCTTTCGTGTGTCGATTGCTGATTGAATTGGACCTACACAACCAAGCTGAGGCGACAAACGCCATATCCAAACTACTTCCATTTAAATCCCGAATAACTTATGAAAAGGAATACAAACATTTTCAAAAATCGGAAATGAAAAGGAATACAAACATTTTCTGAATGTGGAAATCTGAAATGAAAAATGAAAAGGAATACAAACATTTTCAAAAATGGAAGCAATTCAAAAACGTGCGAGAATAAATAAAGTTTTTTACCTATCCTCGCTGTTACAGTATCATTTAATCTACCCTTGCGGTTAAAGTACTATTTTATCTACTATTTTTGATAGACATAAGGTAATTTTAACAGTTGCTATGGAAAAAAATATGATTTATTTTTAATAGATGCTATTAAAAATTATATCCAATAACTTATTAATTATCTTAACACCTAAGTAAATGTTTGTTTATTTTCTTGAACCTTCTTTTGAATATAAATATATTTCTTTTTATATTATTGGGATTTTGGTTCTGTTTTGGTTTTGGTTCTTTTTGGATTTAGGTATTGTTGGTGTGATTATATAATACCACTAGCGTGTACCAGCGACTTCGTTCGCGTCGAATTAATCATTTGTAATGGTGATGATAAAGCAAAGCAAGAATTTCGATTAACATACAAACTGGATAAATTTTTTTCACATTTATGTCAGCATGAGAAAAAACAATATGGCGATATTATTATATAACTTGGTAATATTTGAAGGGTAGTTTCATCTCGTTGGAATTTGACTTTCGAAAAATCCGTTTGCCAAAAATAAGCTTTTTACGTCAAGCAATTTAAGCAGAATCGTGGTTAAGAAATGACCCAACTTTTTGAAACACCCTGTATGATTTTTTAAAAAAATTCATAAGATGTAAAAAAACAAATAAATTATGCTTGTCCAAGCGTCTTCCCGAAAGACTAACCGTTTTTTAAATAACAAATATTGTAATATTTGAGGGCCGTTTGAACCCTCTTGGAATTTGAGATTCGAGAAACCCCTCCTTATCGAACCTCTACACCCTACAGTCAATCCGTTTCCCAAAAATCAGCTTTAAACGCCAAGCAGTTTAAGCAGAATCGTGATTACTCAATGGTCATATTTTATAAAACACCCTGTATAAATTTATAGAAAATCTTAAAATATGTAAAACAACAAAATAAAATATACATGTTTAAGAGGTTTTCCGAAAAACTCACCGGTTTTTAAATAAAAAATATTTTAATATTTGAGGGATAGTTTCACCCCCTTAGAAATCGAGTTTCGAAAAATCCCTTCTTATCGAACCTCTACACCCTAAAGTCAATCTGTTTTCCAAAAATTAGCTTTTTACGTCAAGCGCTTTAAGCAGGATCGTGATTAATCAATGACCAGATTTTTCGAAACACCCTGTATACATTTTTAAAAAATCTTAAAATATGCAAAAAACAAAATATATGTATTTAAGCGTTTTTTCGGAAACTTAACCGTTTTTTAAATAAAAAATATTGTAATATTTGAGGGGTGGTTACACCCTCTTGGAACTGGAATTTCGAAAAATCCCTTCTTATCGAAACTCTACACCCTATAATCAACCTGTATGCCAAAATTGAGCTTCTTACGTTGAGTGGTTTGAGCAGGATCGTGATTAATCAGTATGTCAGTCACTTAAGGATTTTATATATTAGTATAGATTCCCAATTCTTTCACTTATTTTCCCAGTTATTTATATGTTTGACATTTATTACAGTGAATTATTTTATTAAATGGAAATAACAGTCTGGCAACATCCCAAATGGAGGAAAGTCAGTTTGACTGAAAATTTGCGGATATAAAAATTTGACAGTTTTTTGAAATCTGTAACCTTTATTTTCCCATTTGCTTGAAATTTAACGTACTATCACAAACTATAATCAGAAGCATGTCTGGCTGATTTACGAAATTGGCCTTTTATAAAAAGACTTAAATCTTTTTCTATTTCGGAATAAAGATTTAAATCACAAATCATTTCAAAAAGACTTAAATTTTAAGTCTTAAGTCAGCTTTCGAAAAATGACAAAATCAAATGACTTGAGCCATTAAAATGATTTAAATCAAAAAAAGACTTAAGACTTCTGTGAGCTTGCAGCTCTGCATATACTATATGAAATTTGCAACAGCAAACGGTGTTTGCTGACTGGAAAAATAAGTACCGAAAATCTTCACTGCCTCCTGGACAAGCGAGGGGTGCCTCACTACTGGAATTACATGTACATTTTATTGGCAGTCGCTGGTAGTGAGTGGAAATCTTATGGCAGTCGCCTATAATAATTACATGGTAGTTATAGGCAGTCTTCTTCGCAGTCATTGGCGGTCGCTTGTACTTGTAGAATGACATTTTGGCAGTACATGAACATTTTTTACCCAAGTGAGACACACCTCGATTACAAAATAATTAATAATTACCCATATGTCGATAAGTTGTGTAATTTTTTGTTGCAACAATTGTGACCTAAACTGAAATAAACCTGTATTTTAGGGAAATAAAATCGTGCCCATATGGCGCTGTTTGCAATGATTTCGACAACGAGCCATGTGACGAACAAGGCATTTCTAGAGAATTTTTAACTGACCAAACTTTTCTATTTAAGTATGGAGATAAAGAAGGAAGAAAACACATTATAGACGACTGAAAATCAACATTAGGATATGAATATTCTTATATTAATATTTGCCTTTTTACTTTCCTTTGTTGTAAATAAAGCTATAAGGATGTACATTGTTTTAATAGAAAAATAAATAATGTCTGCCAAACATATGTTGGTATTAGAAAAGGAAACAAGCAAATTAAAATTAATTACCAATTTTAAAAATATTAGATTTTTTCAAATAAAAACCATAATTAAGCTTAAATGAACAGTTAACAAGAATTTTACGACATATACCTGTTAAAACCATTGACTAGATTGGAGAAACGCCATAAAAACAAAAAAAATGTTAATTTAAATGACATGATATAAAATATAAAATGTGTACGAAAATATCAAATGTATTTAAATCATATACATAACTATATTACGGTACTGTTCAATACCGGGTGCATCTCAAAAGTGGCTCACCCCTATAACTTTTTTATTTTTTAGATAAAAAAAACGAGATTTGGTACGTTAACATATGACATAAATCAGGATTGTCTTGCGTATTCAACTGTTTTTGATCACTTCCTGTTTCACCGGGAATGACTACAACTTTTGATTTTTAAATGGCACCCTCGGTATATTTCTACTTTATTCGATAGAAAATGACACTTTGAATAGAATGACATATAATATGTCAACTTTTGACATTTTCGCATATGGTTTATTTGAAATTGTAACATGCGGTTTATAACGACAATTTGCCGGGAAATACCAAATGTGTGGTACCAAATTAATCGTAAAAAAATGCTTTTTCCAAATATGCTAACGAGAGTAACGAGCCACCCTTGTTCCATTTGAAAACATTGAGATATCATTAAAAATACGATTTGTGTATCTTTTAACCGGCCAAGTAAAGTAACTAAAAACATTAGATGATCAATTCTATTTTTCCAAGGCTCCTTGATTATAGGTATACCTTTAAAAAATGTTCGAAATAACTTCAATTACGCCCCACTAGCAAAACCGGTGATAAGACTATACTCTCTACCGTAGGTATTTACACATTCCGTACATATATACGGCACCTAGCAATCCCATTGGTCAGATTTGAAATTTAAACCAATTAAACTCCGAGTGCCATACGCGAGTATGGAATGTAAGACAGTGCCATATGTACAGGTTGGGTCAAATTCGACGCTTTTAAATGGAAACACCCTTTTCTATAGCAGATAGACGAAAACTAATATCGGTGTCTGGAGCTCAATTTTCATCAAAAACATGATGGTGAAAACCGCATATCAATATCTGTTACCGTTTAGGAGTTACGGGGTGTTTTTCAAAAATGTGCATTTTTAACAAATCGCTGTAACTTTTTTGCTATGGAAAATTTTGCATTTCTATGAAAACATTTCCAAAGCACCTTTTTACGTAGAATTTAATGGTATAAGTATAATTTTTTTAAAATTAATAATTTAAAAGTTATCAACAAAAAAATTGATTTTTTATTTGGGACACAGTCTATATTTTTAATTAACCGAAAAGAATTTAAAATTACCTTTCCAAAAATATACCACACTTGATATTTTGTTATATTCCCCTTCGAAATACAGAATTTTTAAAAGTTCTCCACTTTTAACTAGTAGGCTTTGGACCTCTTATTTATGATATGCCCTTAATTTAACTCGAAACCATATTTTTCCAGCAAGAAGAGGCACCGCCTCAGAACGCTGAAGTTATCAGCAAATTTTTGCAGCCAATTTCAAGAATAATTGAATAGCTAACCAAGATCCCAGCCGTTGGCCGTCGAGGCCACCTGACTTAGTGCCCATGGATCTAATCCTATGGATATATTTGCGGAAGAATAAAGGTTCCTTATTCTTCCGTATAATCTAGACAAGAATTAGAAATACTTACTTAGCAGTTATGAGAGGGATTCTCTCACCCCCACTGAGTTAAGGAATTCCGCGAGAAATGTTCAGAAATGGCCCCGTCTGTCCATAACAGAAGATGGTCGATATAACAGAAGACGGTCCAACACCTGCAGCAAAATCTCATGTGTTGGTTTGCTATTTATTTTTATTGTTATCAGATATAGTTTAAATGTATTGATGTTGGTTAAATATATTTTAAATTTTTATAAAATTCTGCATCTCTCATAGCAAATATTATTTTCGTTTTAATTGATGCTCACAGCTAGAATTTTTTTGCATTACAGTCGGTGCCATTCAAAGCCTACTTAATTAAAGCGGGCGAATTTTTGTATACCCTATATCTCGAAGAGGAATCGAGCATAATATCAAGTGTATTATATTTTTGGAAAGGTAATTTTAAATTATTTTCAATAAATTACAGATATACAGGGTGTCTCATATAAAAAATCAAATTTTCTGTTGATAATTCTTAAATTATTAATTTTAAAAAAATTATACTTAAACCATTAAATTCTACGTAAAAAGGTGCTTTGGAAATGTTTTCATAAAAATACAAAATTTTCCATAGCAAAAAAGTTACAGCGATTTGTTAAAAATGCATATTTTTGAAAAACACCCCGTAATTCCGAAACAGTAACAGATGACAAAAATTGAGCTCCAGACACCGATATTAGTTTTTGTCTATCTCCTATAGAAAAGGGTGTTTCCATTTAAAAGCGTCGAATTTGACCCACCCTGTACTTCCGGAATGTACCTTAGACATGACTATTAACGCTTTGTTATAGAGCATTCCAACTAAAACCAAACCAACCCCACCAAATAGCTAACCTAACCAACGCAATCGACCCCACTAACTAACCATCTTAACCAACGCAACTAACTCCACCAAATATTCAATCTAACCCTACCAACCACCAAAAAGAGTGAAACCAACGCAATCCGTATTTTGATTGCTATTAAATATTTACAGCTTTTTCAAAAAATAAAAACAATTGTAAAAAAATAAAAAGTTATGGTCCGGCGTGAGTTTTGAACCACGGACGTCTCGTTCACGAAGCTTCACGTAGCGATGGCCTCAGTGACGGAGCCACAGCCACGCGTTACTTTCTGCTGCAAGCATAATTACCAGGTACATTCCGTAAGTGCGCATGGCACTGTCTTACATTCCATACTCCCGTATGGCTCTCTGAGTTTAATTGGTTTAAAATTCAAATCTGACCAATGAGATTGTGGTAGGTGCCGTATACATGTACGGAATGTATAAATGCCTACCGTAGTTGAACTCATCTAAATTTGTTTTTAACCGGAATAATAAATTATAATGCAAGTTAGACCTTCTGAAGATATCAAAATATTTACCTTTTTATTTTTTTGTTTAGAATTTCCACAAATTATACTTTCTAACACTTTTAGAATAATTATATACTAATTTTTTTGTTTACTCGCCATTTAAACCCGTGTATTTGTATGTGTTTGTTATTTACGATATTCTCGGGCGGTGGCAGCACCGGCGGAGAATGCATCAAGCCTATACCAAAAATATACGTATATTATATTTTCTACTGATTAATTGGTTATTTCAAAGACTCCTTTATATCAGAAAAAAAATTTATCTTAATTTTTTCTTATCGAAACAATTTCCAGTTTAAAATAATAGTTATTGGAATTTCAGGTCAAGTTTATCGACAAAAAAAAAGAGTATTAATTATTTTAAAATAAACAACTGCGACGAATTTCACTACTTTACCCACTTTGTGGCGGACATCACATATGGCATATACAGGTTTGTAACAATAGAAATCAATATAGATAAGCATAATAAAATGAAGCAGTCAATTTGTAACGTAATAAGCAATATCAGGAAAAAGTTGAATGTATTTGTGAAATAGTATTTTACTGCATCCTGTTTTTAAGTTATCTATTACGAGAAGCGGTTTATATAGATTAGTTATTTAATTAGTTGTTTGCTTAATAGAGAATTTTTTTTATTTTAGATGTGAACGAGTATATTAGGTAGTTTTTTATAAAGATCACTGCATATGTTAATAATTTAAAATTAATTGAACGTCTACGTATCCTCAAATTACAGGCAAATTATAAGTACAATGTTTTAACCTAACAAATACAAACAAAATGTAATCTAACCCTTTGTTTATTTACAGTATGTAATAACCACAGACAAAAGTCAGATCAGTATTGTCAGAATTGAAGAATTTCCTTCAATATAAAGGATTTACAGCCAAACTTCGTAGATTGAAGGGCTGAAAGATTTTTATCGAAAAAGAAGACAATATGAAGGTTTCTGACAGTTTTGCCCAGTAAAAATTTTTAAAATATATACAAAATAAACCTTTTTTGTGCAAAAAGCCAAAATAGCTGCATCGACAAAAGCATTTACAAAACAAACAAAAGCAAAAAAAATATACAAATAATAAAAAATATACAATACAAATCATACAATTCCAAAAAAATTAAGTCATTAAAATTACAAATAGAACATAAAATTTTACAATAGGAAAATTGTAAATGGATATGATTAATAAAATTCGAAATTGTTCATGATTAAATATCAACAAAAAAAATCGTTTACCGCATATAGGGCTCTCTCCAGTAAGTGTATGATTTCAGAGCTTTGCGAAATGCGGGAAAGAATGAAAGCGACTTGATATTCAAAGGCAGATGATTGTACATTTTTTTGGCATTGTACGGTATTGAGCCTTTAACTAGTTCTGAGCTCGGGGTTGGCAGATAAAGATCGTGCTCCGCATTCCTAAGTGGATAGTTATGAGATGGCCTTTCGGGAATAGCAGATATGTGCTTGCGGATTAAGCAAACAGATTGAAAAATGAATAAAGAAGAAAGAGTCAGTATTTTTTGTTCAGTCCCAATAAATATCGAACTGGTCTCTTTTGAAGTTTGAAAATACGATCAAATTTTGTTGCCCCAGAATGGAAGGTCATAACGAAGATGTGACTCAAAAAGGGTATAATGGATTGATGAAAAAAGGGCACGAACGATTGATGTCATCTCGGCGCACTCAGTGATAAGGTGTTCTGGTGTTTCCCCATTTTCCCCACAGAATCTGCATTCGCCGTTGTTTCTCAGCTTCAGGCTACTGAGGTGTTCGTTGAGGAGACAGTGCCCTGTTAGAAACCCCGTGACAATCCGAAGATTGTCTTTACTTAAATCAAGGGAAACCTTTGAT